CCCTCTGCCTCTGCGCAGGGCTCAGCACTGCTGTCATTCCAGGTGGGGACAGGGACGGGGCCGGGTGCCTGGCTGGCTGCGGTGGGTGCCCAGGCAAGCAGGGTGTCAGCCTGGCTGGCCACGAGGGCTGGGGAGGGCAGCTGGGGCTGCCCAGCTGAACAAGAATTAACAGGGCTTAGTTACCCCTGCCCTTCTCAGGTTTTTGAACCAATGTTCCCCCAGGTTCTTGCTTGCTTCTGAGCTGGGGGCTGGTCTGGGAGAAGACCTCCTCATCCTCCTCCATTGCCCCTTCCCCAGGTCTGGCACCCACAATAGCCAGTGACGGGAAGAACTATACATCGATCCTCTACGGGAATGGACCAGGATATCCTGGCCCTGACCGGCCCAACGTGGACCCAGAAACAGCCAGTGAGGATACAAAGACCATGGCCTGGGTGGTGGGGTGGGGCTGGGCTGCGGCAGGCAGCATGCAACAGGCTGGGAGTGCTGGGCAGAGAGCAGGACCCTGCTCCACGGCCTGACTGGCACACAGGCTGCCTCATTGCCTGCCCTGTGCTGCCACCACTCTCTGCCCCATCTCTGCTCCCTGGTGTCCCCCAGCTGCCCCATGGCCAGCCCCACTGCTGTGCTGCAGCCTGCATGGCGAGCTGCATGGACACCCTCGCTCGCTCTTCACACACTGCCCTGCTGGGCTGTAACCACAGGCACAGCCTCGGAGCCGTGCACACACCTGGGCACACTGCACATACGTGCACACTCACACACACACACACACAAGCACACAGGTAACTCGCGCCTCTGGACACACAGCCATGGATGCTCCCATCCCTATACGGGCACCAGCCATGTCACCCCTGCTCTATGCACACACACACACACAAAAATATGCCCCCTCTCTTTCTCTCTCTAGCTCAGCTCCCCAAAACCCACTTCAGCATCTCCCCTCCACTCACACCCTCACAGCGCTGCCCTCACAGCCATGGCCACCTCCCGCCTTCCTCCCCTTGTCCCTCATCACCCTTGCCCCCTTTGCAGGTGCTGAAACCTGCAGCCCCCACACACAACCCTGGACCCCTCATACACCCTGTCCCCTCACACACCTCGCACACCCACCCCCAATCACACCCCCGACACCCCACTGCAGAAATCAAGCTGAAGCAGGAGTGATGGGAGCTGTCCCCCAGCCCCGGGACGTGTCAGTGAGCCAGGCCCCAGCCTCACTTCTCCTCTCCTCCTGCAGAGGACAAGGACTACAGGCAGCAGGCAGCTGTGCCCCTGGAGACAGAGACTCACAGTGGGGAAGACGTGGTGGTGCTGGCCCAGGGCCCCATGGCCCAGCTCTTCCACGGGGTGCAGGAGCAGCACTACATCGCCCATGCCATGGCCTACGCTGCCTGCCTCGAGCCCTACGCCACAGAGCCTGGGTGCAGGGCAGCCCGCAGGGCCTCCCATGGCACACGGTGCTGCCCGCAGGCCCTGCTCGTCCTCCTGGCCCTCTGCATGGCTGCCCTCACGGTGAGGGGCTGAGAGGCTCTGGCTGAGTCCCGCTGTGGGCAGGACCAAGGCACGCAATAAACACAGGTTGTTTGTCTCTATCCACCCTGCAAAGGCTCACAGTGGCTGTCACCTCCCGAGGTGCTGCCCTGGGCCTGCCTCCCCAGCTGGCTGTGGCTCCCGGTTCTCCCTGGACCTGCACTGGAGGCACCGGGGTGCAGGAGATGAGGAAATGCAGGTGACGGGAGGCAATGTCCTCCCCAGCTTTGCCTGGTTGGAGCACAGTACACAAGGGTTGGTCCATTCCTATCAAGGGCTGAGCAAGGAGCAGAGTTTTAGTCCACATCCATGGATTTATTGCTCATGAAAAGCAGGGAAGAGAGCAGGGTGCTCGGTGCACGAGTGGCCCCAGGTGCTCCTCATACCCACCGTTATCCAATGCTCAGAGCTCCCGTGGCAGCCTGGGACAGGGCTTTGCCCTGCCTGGCACCACAGCACCATGGCCAAGGCAGGAGCTCCTGCCAGCACTGCACTTCCTCCTGTCCCTGCATCTGTCTGTGCCCCAAGCCCATCTGTGCCCAGCAGGCACAGGGCCTTGTGCCAAAGAGGTGACACCAGCCCGGGCCACGGCCTTTGCACTCGGCAGAGATGTGGTGACACACACCTCCACACACCCTGCTAGGGCTGATCCCTGTCCAAAGTCCCTCCCACATCTGCTGGATTTACAGACACTGCCAGCAGCGTTGGCCTGTCAGACCTCAGCATGCAGCTCCTGGCATCCCTCACCCTCTGCCTCTGCGCAGGGCTCAGCACTGCTGTCATTCCAGGTGGGGACAGGGACGGGGCCGGGTGCCTGGCTGGCTGCGGTGGGTGCCCAGGCAAGCAGGGTGTCAGCCTGGCTGGCCACGAGGGCTGGGGAGGGCAGCTGGGGCTGCCCAGCTGAACAAGAATTAACAGGGCTTAGTTACCCCTGCCCTGGATGCGGTCAGAGATGACTCTGTGAGCCATCTTATGGGTAGGAGCATCCCTGCCTGCACCACCGGCAATGCTTCCTCCTCCCCTTTCTTGAGGTGCCGTCAGGGGCACAAAGCAGCCCGGGCATGGACCCCCTCACCCTCCTCCCCCAGGTCTTTTCGAGCCCAAGGACATGAAGTATGAGCTGAACCGCCTTCTCAGGTTTTTGAACCAATGTTCCCCCAGGTTCTTGCTTGCTTCTGAGCTGGGGGCTGGTCTGGGAGAAGCGCCTGTATCCTCTATCAGCACTCCCTACCACGGATTTGGCTCTATCCCACTCACCAGATATCTCCCCATCATGTCTGGTTTTGCTGTCCCCCCTTGTTCCCTGCCCCAGGGCCCTGGGCCCAGGCAGTCGGTGCAAGCCTGCGTGGTCTCTCCCCAGCCCAAATAGCTCCCAAACCACCCGGTCCAAGTGAGAGGAGGTTCCAGAATGGGAGTGCACAGGGAACAAGTATCCCTGGGGTCTGGGTAGCCCTCAGGGCCGCCCCAGGGATGCAGGCACTGGTGATCTGGGACTGATGGGTGTTTGCACCGTCCAGCGGAGGAGGAGAATCCATCCTTCTGGTACAAGCAGGCAGCTGCAGCCATCGATGCCTCCTTAGATGCAGGCACTGGTGATCTGGGACTGATGGGTGTTTGCACCGTCCAGCGGAGGAGGAGAATCCATCCTTCTGGTACAAGCAGGCAGCTGCAGCCATCGATGCCTCCTTAAAACTCCAGCCCAGGACAAATGAAGCCAAAAATCTCATCCTTTTCCTTGGGGATGGTGAGTCCAGCTGGCACCCAACAAGCAGGCTGACATGGCCAGTACTCTGCTGAGTGGGATGTGTGCAGGGCACCTGGTCCACAATGTGACCAGCACACTCTCTCATCCCAGGATTCGGGATCCCCACCATCACAGCCACCCGCATCCTCAAGGCACAGCAGCAGGGGAAGCTCGGGCCTGAGACCCCTCTTGCCCTGGATGCTTTTCCCTATGTGGCTCTGTCGAAGGTAAATTCCAGCCTGTTGGAAAGTGGTGATTCTGGGCATGGGGCCAGGGTTATCCTATATGTGCAGCCCTGGCAGCCCAGTGCAGCACACATGTTGTGCATGGGGTCGCTCCCCATCCCACATGTGTTCCTGGGGGCGTGAATGAGTGTGGCAGGGTGCTGCTGGGGGGACACCCCACTGGAGACCCCTGCCCTGAGTCCTTCTATCCCTGACAGACCTACAACGTGGACAGACATGTCCCTGACAGCGCGGGGACAGGAACAGCCTACCTCTGTGGTGTGAAGGGCAACTACAAGACCATAGGGGTGAGTGCGGCCGCCCGCCACTCAGAGTGCAGCACCACGGCCGGCAACGAGGTGATCTCAGTGATGGAGCGAGCCCGCAAAGCTGGTAAGGGGGGATGCAGGGCTGGGGGGACCCTGTGGGAACAAGGGGTGCCACACTGGGGGCTTCACCCCAGTGGGGATGCCATAGCTTGGCGGTGGGGACGCTGTGCTGCCCTTGGTGGGGCCTGATGAGCGGGGTTTGGCAGGGAAGGCGGTGGGCGTCGTGACCACAACGCGGGTGCAGCACGCGTCGCCCGCGGGAACCTATGCCCACGTGGTGAACCGGGACTGGTACGCGGACGCCAGCATGCCCCAGGAGGCGCGGCTGCAGGGCTGCACGGACATCGCCTGGCAGCTGGTCCACAACGTCGACATCAACGTGAGCGCCGCGCACGGGAGAAGGAGAGCAGGGACAGACCCCGCCTAGGGCACCCCCACTAACTCTTCATCCACCTCGTCCCCTCCAGGTGATCCTGGGTGGTGGTCGGAAATACATGACCCCCGTGGGGACGCCGGACCCTGAGTACCCCGCCGACAGCCGGCAGAATGGGATACGTGAGGATGGGATAAACCTCATTGAGAAGTGGCTGGCGCCACGGCCGGTGCGTGAGGCATCAGGGACACGCCTCTGCCCACTGCCCCTGGCACAGGGCCAGGCACCCACTAACCCCCAGGGGGATTTGCCCACAGGGTGCCCGCTATGTCTGGAACAGGACAGAGATGCTGGCTGCTGCTGCCGACCCCAACGTGAATTATTTGATGGGTAACAAACAAGCCCTGTGCCAGAACCCAACAGGCACTGGGACACTCAGGCACTCATGTTGTCCCCAACACATTCACCCTCAGGTCTCTTTGAACCCGTGGACACCAAGTACAACCTGGTGCGTAACACCACCCTGGACCCGTCACTCACTGAGATGACAGAGGCGGCCATCACCATCCTGAGCAGGAACCCCAAAGGCTTCTACCTCTTTGTGGAAGATAAGTTGGGGCTCGTGCTCCTGGGGCCAGTGACAGGGCGCTGTAGGGTGGGGGTAGGAGATGTGTGTGCTGTCGGTTCCCAGCTCACAGTGGGTGCCCATCTGCAGGTGGCAGAATTGACCATGGCCACCACGATGGCGCAGCCCATAAGGCTCTGACAGAGGCAGTGGAGTTCGACACGGCCATCGAGCGGGCTGGCACCATGACAGACGAGGCTGAGACCCTCACCGTCATCACCGCTGACCACTCCCACGTCTTCGCCTTTGGGGGCTACACCCTGCGTGGCTCCTCCATCTTTGGTGGGGCTCTGCCCTGTCCTGGGTACTGCCTGTGGCACCCTGACTGTGGCCAGAGGGTTGATATGGGTGTTCCTTGTCTGATTCTCCTCCTCATCCTCCTCCATTGCCCCTTCCACAGCTCTGGGCCAAAAGAAAACCACTGATGGCAAGAACTACACATCGATCCTCTATGGGAATGGGCCAGGATACCCACATGGTGAACGGCCCAATGTGGACCCAGAAAAAGCCAGTGAGGAAAAAGAAACCATGGCCTGGGTGGTGGGGTGGGGCTG